ATTACAAAAACCTTAACAACTTAGATGACAAGGACAAATTCCTTGAAAAATACAAAGAACAGAAAGAAAAAATTTGAGATCTGTATTTACAAATGAAATTGGATTTGTTATTAAAAGCCTTTCCACAAAAACACAAGAAAACGAAAAGGCAAGTCACAGATTAGAATACTTGCCTGAAAAAGGATTTATTCCCAAAATTACAAAGGTCTGTTGTAATAGTAAAAAAAGACAAGCCTATAAAAAACAAAAGATTCAAACATATACTCCATCAAAAAAGATATGTAAATTGGCAGGAAGCTCATGAAAAGATGCTTGACATCATTTGTCTTTAGAGAAATAAAAATTAAAACTACAACAGGTAAAAGGATAAACAAATTGGCTTATATATTCAATGAAATACTTTCAACAAAATGGAACCACCCACTGATACATGCAACAGCAATCTCTAAAAAGCCATGCTAAGTGAAAGAAGACAGGCACAAAAAATTCCATTTTTACATGAAATCTAGAAAAGGCAAAACTGAATCTAAAACCATTGAACTTATACAACGAGAGAGTAGAACAGTGGCTGCCAGGGGCTGGGGGTTAGGGAGATGGGGAGATGTTTCACAAAGGGTACAAACTTTCAGTTATAAGATGACTACGTTCTGGGGAACTAATGTACAGGATGGTGATTACAGTTAATAATACTGTATTACATACCTGAAAATTGCTAAGAAAGTATACCTTAATTGTTCTTACCAAACACAAAAAAATTCTGTGAGATAATGGATGTGTTGATTAACTTGATATTGCAATCATAATGTCTATCAAATCATCACATTGTACACTTTTAAAAAGTGATATTGTATAACCTAAATACACACAATTTTTATCTGTCAATCATATTTCAATAAGGCTGGGGAAAAAATTAAGTTTTCAGATAGTAAGAGAAAAAAAGAAAGGCAAAAGTAACCCCAGTAGTTGTTGACTGGGGACAGAGCGGAAGGTGGTTGATGGCAAAGGGGTAAGAGAGGACTTTTTGAAGGGATGGAAATCTTGACAGTGGTAGTGGTTGTTAGTGTACATAGTTGTCAAAACTCCAATTGCACTTTTAAGACAAATGCATTTAATTGTATGTGTAAAAAAAGGAAAAACCCGTAGGGGTCTTTTTCTTCCTTTGTCTTCAAAATGACTGTTCTTGAGCATTAAAAAAAACAGCTCAACTGTATTTAAATCAGACCCATGGTTTCCACATTTTTCAAACAGGTATCTCTAGAATCCATCAAAATTACTGATAGCTTCACATTCAAAAGAAATTATAATCTGACAACTACTCCGGCATCTTCAACAATTGTTCCCATCATTTTTTATCTCTTAGATGAGCTACAAATCCTCGTGAACTGGCATCTCTGAGTTTACCAACACCTTCACAGTCTATTCTTCAATCAGAATGATCTTTTGAAATATAAATTCCTCTCCTCCAATTCCTCCAATAGCTTCTCATCTCAGACTAAAATCCAGTATCCCTACCATGGCCTACAGGCTTCTGCAACCTTCCCTTTCTTTCTTCCCTGCTCAACTAAACCTCCCACTACCTCCCACTCCTCTCTCACCTGCACACAAAGCTCCTTCCTGGACCCCCTTGATACACCTCAAACACCTCTCAAGGCCACTGCACTTTTTGTTCTCTTTCCTTAGAAAGCTCCTCAGATATCCAGATGACTGCACCACATTTCAATTTTTTTCCTCCCAAAAATCATCTTCTCAAGATACATTCTCTAATCATACCATAAAAATCACATTTCCCTAATCCACAGTTCTTTATCTCCTTACTCTGCTTTATGTTTCTTCACATCATTGCATCACAACCCAGTATTATTTATATATTTTTTTGCTTATTGTCAGTAATCTAACCTATCCTTCGGCCCCTTACCAGAAGGTAAGCTTCACGATGGCAGGCATTTTGGTGTCATCTTTATTTATCCTCCCTGTAGCCTCAACAGCTGATACAATATAAGCATGCAATAAACATTAACTGAATGAATTACAACGGCTCACAGATGAGAAGATTGAAGTTTCAGGAAATTTAATAATAGAATGACTCATTCTGTGCAAATGGTGTGGCATGTATGTGTATGTACGTAAGGGAAAATGAGAAATGAAGCATGAAAGAAAGTGAAGGCAAATGATGAAGTAACTCATAAGGCCATGTTGAGGAATCAAAGCAGAGAGAATTATGCCAAGGTTTGTAAGCAAGGAAAGGTTTATGAATAGACTGCAATGGAATGATGGGTTTTTAGGGGCCCAAGACTACAAGTATGGATACAAATTGTGGGGTTCTGAGATAACTGGGGATTGGATTAGGGTAAAGAAAATGGGGAAGAAAGAAAGCGAGCAAATTTGAGAGATGTAGGAAGTAAATTGACTAAACTCGGTATTTTTCTTGACAGTGATAACAGCTAGAAACTCCAAACTGCACAACAGAACACTGGAGAGACAGGAGAGAGACGACTGACAATTCCAAATCCAAAGGCCTGCAATTTCTGTTAATTCACAAGTAAGCACCTGTCAATGACAAGGTCAACTGAACAAAAATCTGAGCATTACGATTCTCAAGTTAAATTATGAGACGTGAAAACCACAGAAAAGCTGCAAAAAGTTTTCTGCAATACAAGAATAAATTAAAAGATCTACTGGCAGCTCAGTGAAGGGCAATTCAAGGGTAGACAAAATGTAAATGCTGGTAAGAAGTGTGCTCTTTCCTTCAGTAATTCTGATACCAGTTAGTCAAATCCCACTGAGTTAGCCTGATGATTCTTTTCTTCAATTCTCCATTCACTACAAGGGCATCTTAATACATTTCAAAATAACTGCTAGTCTATCATTTCCATTATAACTTTTACATAAGAAAATTAGAATTAGCCAAACTTATTTATAGGTGAATTCTTTTCAAAATATCAAGACTGCTCAGTATTTTCAATCCAAAAGTACTTTTTAAAAAAAATATTTAAGCAATAACAAATTAATGAGCCTTATGTTGGATTTTGTAAGGATTGAACCAATTTACTTTACTTATAACAATGAGTTGGTAAGGAATTTACATTTCCTTCAATTTGGAATTATGAATTTATTGTATAATCAGCATTTGGAAAGAACAGCACATGGATCTATTAAATTGTAAAACAGTATTACTTAGACGATGCCAAAAAACTGCAGCAAACTTGTATGAAACAATTATGTGCTAGGCATTCTCTGTGTAACATCTAATTTAATTTCATAGTAACTATATGGGAGTTTAATGATGTTCAAATCTTATAGATGAGGAAATGGAGACAGTAAAAAACCACAAAGATGGAATTCAAATCCAGCTCTCAAATATTTTGTACTGTATCTACCAAAAATCTATTTAAGTAAAGACCCAAATCACTTGATACTTGAGAATTTGTAAAGCTCTGTTTTGTTTAAATCTTTGTTTATCCTGGTACCATCACCAGAAATGTTTAATAATACCCAGTTTAATTAAAATAAATTCCCTGATACAGCATCCATGTTACAACAAATATATTTAATAAAATAGGTAAGAATTAAAGAATCACTGTAAGGTTAAATCACTTTATAGAACCATACCTTAAAAAGCATTTTTATTCTATGATTTATATAATTCTAAAAGTTTTAACTCGGCTAGTAGACATTAAGAAACCTAAAAGAACTAACAGTTCAGTATGCTTAGAAAATAACTCTTTTCCATATAGCTTTTCAATACTGCACAATTAAGAAAAAGAAGATTATATGGTTTAATAGTGTGCAAATTATAGGTTTTAGTTTATATTTAACCTGTTTATTCCTTGTAAGACATATTGAACAAAATTCACATGAAATGTTCTTCTTCCAAGGAGTTAATTTTGACAAGTAAATGGAACATATTTATGATTTTAAAGTTTATTTGTAGAATAGAGTATCTGAGGAATAAAGGACAGCAGATACCATATTGACTTATGTGTCAATAAAGTTTTGTTAGAATACTAACAGTATTCTATTTTCTAAATATCAAGTTAGAGTCCACATTTCCATATATTTTTACTAACATAAAAAATATTTAAATAATGACTTAGAAAACCAGTAATTTTTCATTTTCCACTGAAAAAGATAAATACTCTGTTAGTAGTTCAATCATCATTTCTAAAGTTACTAAAGGGCTATTAGCAATGAGGAAAAGACAAAAGGAAGGAGAAAGTAGAAAGGGGAAGATAAAGAATGGAAGGGAGGGTAGATGACAACACAAAAAGATGCCTGAAATCATTTCTTATGAGATGCCACCTTCCAAAATTAGTTTCAGTGTCTTATTTAAGATCCCTAAATATGAACTTCAATAGTTTTTGTTAACTTAAAAGAATTATTAAATGAGTGTGAAAAGCTCTAGAATGGCATCTGGTATATTAAAAATTACATAAAAGTTTTTCTTTTTCTAAACGAAAATTTTATAGTATCAAAAATTCCACTGTGGAACATTAATCTTTCCATTGGAGACACCAATACAACAGAGTACTTGGAACCCACAGATAACTCAAATAACAGGTTCCTATTTGCACAGCTCACCCAACATAAATGAGTTGTACAGACTTCTGTACACTCATTACTTGCTTATGATGAGAAACTGCTCCACAAAGAAAAAAAGCTTTTATCATCCAACTGATGATGTACCCACATTCTTACCCTGTAATAAGAGTGATGCAAAGGTAATAATACTTTTGAAAAGTAGGCCACTAATTGAATTTGCTCCTCTCACAACACTTTTTTCCATAAAAAATAAAAAGGCTTTCCCATTTAAGGATTTGAGCAATGTCTATGTTCATCTATTATACAATAAGTGAGTTATAAGTTATTTTTATATTTTATGTTTAAATAAAATTTTGAAGAAAAAATGGTCAATTCTTTATTAACATACATATTTTAATAATTTAAAATTAAACTGAAAAAGGGGTTGGGGTCTAAATATCAATTTGGAAATTACTACTTACTGCAGGTACCAGTAATTTCTTCACTTCCTCAACGGCTCTCTTCAGTTTTATTTCTGCTCTGTTTTGAGCGTCTTCCACAGTGATCAGTACATGTAAATCTTCATTGAGATGCTCCCAATTAGGCTTGCCTCTATTTTGCTCCTCCTAAAAAATTTAGAAAGCACACTATTACAAATTTTAATTTTGAAAGAGAGAGTACATCATAATACTAACCCGTTGCCAATTATTTCACCTATGTTTGCATGATTTTGCTATGATGACATTAGAAGCATTTTGAATCACCTTCCTGGTAGAAAGGTTGGGTGTGAGACCACTGGGTCAAAATGACAGTTAATTCGGCACATGTCTGTTGAGCACTTAGAGCCAGCTGCTAAGGATACAACAGTGAGCAATCACAACACCCCTGCAGTGCTCATATGTACTAAGAAACTTATGTTTGGTGTCATCCTTAGGTTATCATAAAAAGTATGTTATTATTTCTTATTTTACTTGTAAGTAAACAGAAGGTCATCAAAGTTAATTTAAGCAAGTCACTTGTCATGGTCACAAAGTTAATAACTTGCCAATTTGGGAGCTGAATCAGTGTTTTCATTCTCAAATTCAGTGCTTTTCATTTCCTTACAACTACTTTTAGTAACACTGTTACTAAAATAACAATACTAAATAGCAATTCAATATTAGGAAAAGTATTTTGCAAATAGATTTATTATATAAGAGAAGTGCCATTTGTTTTAAATATTTCAAGTGGTAGGAAACATTTCACTATAACAACAAGGAATAAATAAATATGACTAGTTTTAAGTCTAGTTCCATCAGACCAAGTAAAAAACAGTGAACTAAATGTCAATCTATTATTATATTGACTCATAAATATGGTTCAATAGAGAACATGTATGTTTCATTTCCTTTATGTCATCAAATAACTTCATGAGGGAAATTAGCTCCAAGTTGGAAACACTGTCAAGCAGCAGGGAGGTTTGGATTAGAATTGGCCACATTTCTCTTTCACCAAAAACATAATTTCAGAATTGATTATTTTAAGTTTTAGAGATAACATAAAAGTATTTTTATAAACAATTTATAATATATAAATATAAAATATTAAGAATATGAATTTATAAATAAATTTTTAAATGATATTTATATAAAACGTCCCTGGCTCAGTGTAAGGTACCATATTTAAACAATAATATCTATTGTTGAAACTTGCACCTTATGGCCATTAATTTACAAAATTTTGAGAATCCAATACAATAAAACTGGTATAAATAAAACTGGTATAGTAAAACAGCTTTCTACTACAACATACATGTTTGCAGAGGATATGCTAGAAGAAATCTCTGGAGCTTAGCCAGTGTGGACAGAAATAAGTTCTAACAGTTGAGTACATGCTCTGCCTTTATTTTGTTGTTATCATTAGTATGAAAATACATCCATATGTTGTGAGGGAAAATGAGAAACAAGACAAAGCACACAATCCTATGGCAGGCCATCTACATGATCCCAGAGAGTAAACTCATCATCACCACAGTGTGCCCCCAGAGGTTCCAAGGGATATTTGAAATCTCAAGGGAAATAGCAAGTCAACTTCTGTCAGATACTATGTAAACTTCTAGCTCAAAATATCTTTTTCAACATTAGATCACCCTACATTTCTTTTGATGATGTCATATCTTTGCAATGCCAGGTTTGCAGCAGTTGCTGTAATAAAAAACAAGTACATGTGAAAATCAATGTGGAATAGGAAAAGAAGATATTAGTGTCTAACCTGATCCCCAGGTTTAAGGGCCCAAGAGAAACACAGACTCCATTAATTAAAAATGTGTTTATTTACAATTAAAACTTTTTTTAAAATTTAAGTTGTTTTGATATAAATACTAATCAAGTTGTTTGGAAGTAACTATTCAATAAAAAGAGAACTGTTAACTTTTGTTTATTTTCATCTGGAAACAACATGAAAAACTGAGAAACTAGGGAATCAATGAGTCAAGAAATTGAAAACCTCAGGGTTATCTACATGCCAAAGAAAATAAAATGTGCATACATACCTTTACTGTGGCAAGAAAAATAAATTTTTAAATCCAGATTTCAATTTTTATGTTGAAAAAATGTCAATATTTTATCACCAAAATTTGTTATTAATTTTTTTTGTAGACAGGTCCAATAAAGTTACTCGTATGTTTTGATGATCCTTAAAAACTGTTCTAAATTACCATGAGTAAGGGACTTCGGCTTCCAGTCGAGATAAATGTAACAAACACGATTCACTCTCCTGTCTCCAACAACCAAAAAAACAGGCAAAACACAAGAAACAACAGTTCTTAAGCCACTGGATCTCAAGCAGTAAAGACAGTGAAGCTGAGAGATGAGGAAGCAGTGAGATGAAACCCCAGGATGGCCCAGCTCCCCAGCCTGGGAGTCTCTAGGCCACAGAATCAGGAGCGATCCCAGGCCGCCTCTCTGGGTGACAGAGACTGAGCTAAGAGTGCAGGGAGACCACAGCAGCCAGTGTTCACAGAAGGGAGTCCTGGGCAGAGCAGCAGAGAAGAGCTGGAGAGCTGCATAAGGTCCGCTCACGCGTTCAGCTGACACTAATCTGAGCGTGTGCGTGGAAGAAAATACTAGAGGCTGGAAAAAGAACCAGCCAAAGGACTTGACGAAGTGCTGGGCTCCCACACAGAGCCAGATGGAAGACTTCATGATCCACAGATACTAAGTACAGTACATGAAAGGTCTTGCCTCAGTAGTGGGAAATAATTAAACCTAGTCTGACTACTGCTCTGGTACTGCTAATAAATTTTAAAAGCAATGCCTTAAACAATCAGCTTCCAACTAACTTACCAGTGTCCCTGAACAAAGCCCAAGAATACTCACAGGTATATGAAGTATTCCTACCTAACAAGGTAAATTCAGACTATCTGGCATCCAATCAAAAATCGGCAGGCATGCAAAGAAGCACACATATGAGAAGAAAACATATATGAGAAAGTATAACATATATGAGAAGAAAAATCAATTGAAACCAACCAAGAACTTGACACAGATGTTATAACAAACAGACAAGGACATTAAAGCTTGGGAGCATGTGTGTTTAAGACACTGACATATGCAGGTATTAATATAAGCATAACTGAGGAATACTAATTTTCTAAAATATTTTAGAAAAACCAATAAAAACCAAAATCACAGGTGACTTGCCACAGAATACATGGGAAAGACAAAAGCCAGAGGATTTCATTTGCATTATAGGAACAAAGAATGAAGTTGCAGTCAAATTTCATAGTCAGCTTTACTGAATGAATAAATTTTTGAGTTGTAAAACACTTTGGTAAATGTATACTTTTAATTTAACAGTGTAACTGCCAGTTACAAATAAAAAAATGGTGTATCTTTTAGAAACTGGTTGATGAGGCATTAATTTCTTTTTACAGTTATATTTCAAACAGTATTTCAGGAGTAAAGACCTGAGATACTGATGTGGAAAAAATAGCTCATTATTACTTATTATTATAATGTGTGTTTTAGTCACCCAAAGCAATGTCATTTCATATTAGATGCCACTAAATCTTCAGTAATACAAGAGAACATGGGTTATTTATTTATTTTTGTATCAACATACTCCAAAATTTACATTTCCAGCACAGTGTTGCCCACTGGTTTCCAAACCTCCAAATTCAACTGCCAACTTGACATGTATACATCAGTGTCTATAAAATACATTCAACTCAACATGTCAAAACTGGAGCCCTTATATCCCTTCTCCAAACTTGTCCAGTTACGTCTCAGCTACTATTGATCCTAAATGACTTTTTGAGTAAATGTGCATTTTTTAAAACTTGAGGACAGGACCAACTGGCTTTGTAGAAAAGTCTGAAGTGCATTGATAGCCTACTTGTACCGTGACAAAGAGAGGCAGTTGCACATTGACCCACTCATTCCAGTCCACCTAACTTCAAATCCCCTTTTTCACAGTCACACTGTGTTGCAAGCAAGCTGGCCTATTCACAAATACGGATTCTGATACCCATAACTTTATGCAAGTTATTACCTATGTCCAGAGTGCCTTCTTTAATATTTACTTTTTTTAATCTTTTGCTTTGAGTATCATACCATGACTTTATCTGTGCATTGTCTTAGTCTAGCTATCAGAAAGTTTAGTCCTACTTGAATACCAGAACCCTGTTTGATTGATTTTTATACTCTTGACAGTATGTACATATTGACTTTATACATACCTGGCCCTAAATAAGTACTTACAAAATTGAATAACTGAGCTTTTACTGTTAAGGAATATAAATATCAAATTGTACATTAATATCCTGCAGGTTTCTGAACCACAGGGCTCAACTGTATTTATTACTATTGTGTCTCTGTATAAGCCTCCAGATCATCTCCCTAGATCATGTATCTTGGTTTCTGGGACTGCTTCTTTTAAGCTGTCAGTTGCATTTGACAATCTTTATCCCAAATTTTTATTCTTGTTTTCTTATTTCTCTTCTAGTTAACTCTCCTAGATTTTCTATAACAACATTCATGAGGTCTGATTTTCATATCCCACCAAGGACAGTGCTTTTTCTTTACTCTATCACTTCAATACTACCTTTTTTCAAAATCTCAGAAGAATGAAGTAATAGAAAGGTCAAAGTCTTCAAAACTGCAAGACTAAAGTTACACCTTAATGTAATAGTGATAGAAAAGACAATTATATAGAATTACTATAAGCTCAAAACTGCTGACCTTTAATCTTTTAAGAGGCTGAAATGACAAGAACATTCAAGGTAATGGAGTATATAACTTTATTTATACAGTAAATTAAAGTTTAGTAGCATTTAAAACAATTTCATAACACCATTCATACTTGGTGATAAAGGAGATAGGCACAATTACCAATAATACTTTATATTATGATCTGTACTCTTGACAAGTGTAACTACAAAAGAAATAACAAATTTCAAATAACTTAGTCTCTCAGGTGATGATAAAGCAACAAATTCAGAAATGAAAATTATGATGATGATAATGATAGCAACTAAGCTTTTACTGAACACTTATTGTTTACTGAGTACTATGCTAAACAATATAAACTTATGCCCTCATTCAATCCTCCTAACAGTCACATAAGTGCAGTACTATTACTCTTACTA